TCCAGCGCAGGTGCCCTGTGCTTCCCCACCACCCACCCCCAGCGCGCCYCGCTTCAACGGCCGCTCTGCCTCCGCGCGCGAGCGCTCTAACGGCTGCTCTAACGGCCGCGCTAACGGCCGCCGGCGCGTGCGGAGGGCTGCGCTCCCGCCCGCGGTGCGGCGCGGCAGCCCGGCGGGGACGGAGGGGACTCTGGCGCCGACGGCGAGCAGTAAGCGGTGAGTAGCGAGGCRGGGAAGTCCTTAACGCCGCCGCCGTCTGAATTCGGTTTTGTTTTTAAGAAGTCCCTCCGGGCGAGGGCGCCGTTTCCCTGGACTGCCTCGGCGGCGATGCCTGCGTGACCGTTGGGAGCCGCCGCTTGTTGCGGAGCGCCCGGGCTGAGCGAGCTTGGGGGCTGTGGAGGCTGGGCGGGACGGGGAGGTACCGGAGCCGCTGGTGCTACCCGGCCTCGTCTGGGAGCTCCTCCAGCCGAGCCGCAGAGCTGCGGAGATTGGATTTTTCCGTTTGCGATCAACTGATCATTTGCTGAAAGTGAAGCCAGTGACTTGTTAGTCGCACTGATTAGAAGAAAAACAAATTTAGATTTGTTTCCTATTATTTCAGAGCTTTTTCTTAGCTGCAGTTTATCTATACYTTGAAATAGATAGACTTATTGTTTTTAGTAAATGTGTGCTTTTGCTTTGTTCTGTTTTGCTTTAACTTGTGTGAGGAGAAGGCATCCCGGTTGATTAGGAGTATTTAAAACCCACACGCTGTCACCTTTGCATCTTGGTGGGCATAAAGAGCTGGTCCAGGCAGGAGGCGAGGTGGCTGGTGGCCGTGTCCTAGTGGTCTCAGGGCAAAGCGGCTGCTCCTGCTGGCAATTCCTGGTCGTGGGGATGTGAAAGCAGAAGCTCCTGAAGGAACCTTAAGAACRGCTGTTTTCCTCTCAAAGTGGAGAGGAAATATGGATGCTTATGCTCTATTTTGTTAGATATCAGATACTCCCGGGATTTGACTGTGGCCTTAGCTTCACCCTAGCGATTGCCTGTCTTGGAGTTTTTGTGTGTTGCTTAATACTACCACTGCACGTCGATGACTAGTACATTAAACGATGTTCCYTGTTGCTGTATTGAAACTGGTTGGTCACATAGCAGGAGCTATAGGTTAGCTTCCTGAATTACTCTTTTGTCTTTGATAATTGAGCTGGCTGATTCTGGCACTCAATCAAAAAAAAATGTTTTTTTTTTTTTTAAGATGATTTAGTTAATATTTGGGTTTTTTGTTTTCTTGTATAAAATTGAGTTTCTTAAAGGCCAGCAATATTTCCAGCAAGTCTCTGGGGTTTAATATAGGACTATTTCCATATTGCATATTCACTATACTTCTGCTGGAACCTTTTTTTTTTTCAGCAGCTATTTGTGTTAAAAGAGGCAATTGGATGTGCTTGTTTTCTTTTAATTGTGTCTCATCTGTACCTAGATCTGAGTAAATCGACCATTGGTGAGAGTGTCTTTGTTTGTGTTTCCAGTACTAGTGTGCCGCACCAGCCAGTTCTGTTACGTTGCTCAGCTGGCTCCTTGTCGTGACTGGAATTAGGAGTTCGGCACAACAAAGTTGTGTACTTTGTCTGACTTACAGTATTCAGATGGGGGAAAGTTGCTGTCTCCCTTTCTTCTTGTTGGGTAAATGAATAATATACTATCCAAAGTGTCAGAGACACTGTGAAATTGCTTATTTCTGAATCTGATTTTTTTTAAAAAAATGATTTTTATGGTATCATATATTTGATTTTATGCTTAATGATCATTTAAAGTCATGGTAGATTAGTAGATGATTGTTTCCCCCTCTAATTCAACTTATTTCTTTCCTAAACTTTGCCAGTCTCTGCTCAGACTTCTAACTGTGTAGTCTTTTACTTGTATTCTTTGGCAGAGAATTGTCTGTCATCCTTGTAATCTGATCACATTCACCAGGGCAGAAAAATACTTCTTATCCATTTGTGTATGTTCTACCATAGCCTGATTACTGTTAAGTAGTAAAGGCCATATCCATCCTCAGGGGAAGCTGGGAAAACATATAATGAGCATTTGCTAACAAGGCCAGCCATGCTGGATTCTCACGCCTGCCTTTAAGGGGCCAATCCAGCATGAGGTTCAGCTGTAAATGCAGCTGTGTTCTGCAGTAGAGTGGGTTTTGAGGGACCTGGCTTCTAGGAAAGGGCCCGAGGGGTGTTATGACACTTCTTTGCCACAAAGCAGCCCTGCTACCTGCTCCTTTTGGGTTGTAGTAGACATATTGGCTCTTCAGGAGACTTTACCTCTAGTTCTTGAAGATAACTTGGATTTAGGCATGAGATATGTGCCAAACTCTACAAACTTGGGCAGTTTTTGCATGTATCCCAGAGCTGAATGTTACACAAGACATTGCTTTGTCAGAAATGCCTTGTGCTGGACTCAAGCAGCTCGTTCTGTGGAAGCCCTGACTGTACTTGTGCCAGCAGAACCCTGCGGCTGCCACTCTCCTGCCAAAGCTGCCCTGGCAGTCATCTGCCCCACAGCCAGTGCCCTTCCTTGTGTCATCCCCTGCTTCCTCTCGCTGGTCAGCAGCACGCCAAATGAATGGAATGACATGTCATTCTTTTCTTTGCATTGCCTTGAAGTAACTGTTTCTGTGATACAGAAACATATTTGCTCTATTTAGTGTTTTCCTCTGTATAGCTGAAATAGTAAATGCCTTTGTTTCCTTCGTAATGGAGTGATGACTGATTTGCTGAAGATTACCTAGCAAACCTGTATCAAAGCAAAKGATAGATCCTTCAATATGCAATCATATCATCACTTTCACCACAGATGCTAATCTTCAACTCTTGATGAAAATGCAGACCCTAGATTAACACACACTTTAAGGGTTCTGACAGCAAAAATCTATTTATAGATTGATACCTGATTTTATGGTTAGTGAAGACTGTCTGTGTATTGAAAATAATATCTGGCATTAGCACTACCCTTTTCCTTGTGGTGTCAGAGTTTGCTAAGAGGGGATGGCTAGAGCTCATCTGACACTTGCTAGGATTTGCATTTCTGGGATATAAAGAAGAACCTTAAAGACACAGCATTCATTTGTATTTAGGCAGAGGTAAATATAAATACATTTTAGAGTAATGAAAACCATTACTTTGAAAATACCCTCCGGGCAAAGAAATTGGCTCACCATCAATAAAACTTAACTAACAAAACATGATTGTTTGAAAGAAAATTTTGATCCTAATCAGATTAAATTTATAGTGAACAGTTTTCCTTAAACAAGCAATTAAGCCTTTAGCCTGCCAATTTTCAAGACCCATTGTTCCTTCAGCTGATGCCAGAGGCAAAATTCCTATTGAAGCTGAAGAGAAGACAGAGTGTGTGCACAAACTGATGGATATCCATAACTGGAAAACTACTCATAGTAAAAATGCAGGCTATTCAGTGGAAGCTTCCATACACTTCCTGTCTGTATGTGAAGGACAGTTCATTTTAARCTTTTCAAGCATTTTCTACCTGTGCTTCTCAGAAAAACTCAGTATTCACTATGCAAGCTCCAAAACAATGCCTTGATTGATTGTGTTGGGCTGRGAATCCAAGTATCTAGTTCCAGATACCTGCACCAGTGCAGCCAGCACTTCTGTGTTACGTGAGCACAACAGARAAATTTTCGGTCAGTCTTGTGGCTACAATGCTTTCTGAAGCTAAGTTTCCCTTTAGCCAAAGTAAAGGAAGGAAAAAATTTTGAAGAAATAAAATTACTGGCTTTAGAAAGTAGTGACTTTGATAGAGGTTGCTAAACATAGTGATTTGTCTCACCAAAAAAGCTGCATAAAAATCAGGACTTAAAATGGTGTCATCTCTTCAGTTCTTCAGAGTAGAGATGTAAATACAATATTTGCATTGTATGGGGACATAGTAAAAGAGAAGGTATGTGACAACACTAATATGAAATGCAAACAGCAGTAAGAACAGTTATAGAACCTATTGTTTGATGAAACTATTCTGCTTTCTATGTGCTAACCCTCCCCTGTCCCTCTCCCCTCCTGCCCTCCCCAATGCTGCGTTAAGTTACAAAGAAGTACAGTTTGCTCTTGATGGAAATATTTTTTGTACTGGTCATTACATAACTCTTCYTAAAGTTAGGAGTTAGAGTTTTGAGTAGGAATTTCTTCTTCAGTTCAAAGATTAACTAGTACACAAAGAGTAAAGCAAAGATCACATAAACTTGACTTATTCAAGCTCTGCTACACAGGAATCATCATTAAAAGTCTTTTATATCATGGTATATTAAAATAGCTGCAATTCCATCTTTCTTGCAATGTGTATACTTCTGTAAAAGATTTTAATTCCATGAACTACATTTTTGCACAAACTTGATATTGCATATGAATTTATACAGCAATAGCTGAATACTGTATCTATAAACAGATAACAAAATTAAGGTTAGCAGTCAATAGAAAAATACAGGGCATCCTCAACACTCAGGTTAAGTGTGATATATAGCCAGTCATAAGTTATTAAAAAAATACACTACAAAAGCCTGATAAATATGATCCCTTCTTTACCATTCACAACTACTAAGAATTTTACAATCAAGATCACAAAAACATACAATAAAAGAAAACCCTCGATTAGTAGTTGATGGGGAAAGTGCTGCTTTTGTTTGCTACTGTATATTTTACTTGCAAAAAAAAATCTATAAAATACATAAATTTAAATCCATTATTCTCTCTCGAACTCAGTAAATTATTATTATCATTTTAACCACATAAAAACTGATGTAAAAGTATCAACCCATTATCAAGCATATATAAAGCCCTTTTTTTCAGAAAACTATTTTTGACATCTTCAGAAAACTTCACACATCTTTAGAAAGGTTTTTCTAGCATTAGAAAGTTGTTATTCTGTGGGTTACTGATCCCCTTCTATGTCTCCACCTTTTTTTTTTTTTTTTTTTTTTGTCTTCTAGGCATCTAAGTAATCAGATATAAATCAGTTAAATTTCAAAGCTTAAGATAATTTCGGATTTCAATTTAAATGCTTTTGAGTTTTCAGTACACAGTCTAATTTCATCTCTTTGCCCAAGAGATTAAAGAGATTCAGGACAGATTGCCTGTCTTGAACTTTGTCCAGCCAATAGCAACTTTGTAAAATCAAGGCAATCGAAAGAAAAATAATCCAGATTATTAAATACAGTAGGCATATTTCAGACCGATTTCATTGTGGTGTAGCAGGCAGTAGTATCAGTCAATGTATTAGGACCCAGATTATAAAGAGAAATTACAGTGCTTAAATACCTTTGAAATTCTGTGCCAAAAGTAGCCAAGAGCAATGACTGGTAGAAATAGGTAGAAGTGAGATGGCCTTTTAATGTAAACTCTGCCAAACCAGATAGCATTCTTACTCAAAATTGCAARCTCTCAATGGTAAAAACAGTCTGTCTAGCTACATCTGTCATCCATCTTCTTAATAAACTGCCTGGCAAAAGAGGATGCTGCACAATTGAAGGACTAGAAAGATTTTAGCTATTGGCATAAAATATCTATGGCATAAAACTGTGGCGGGTTTTATATTCCTGCTACTAAGAGAACTCCTGGAAAAGATACCGAGCTAAAAAAAGCTCACAGAAGTTAGTGCTGCATATTTAAAGTTATATTAGTTTTAACATATGAGAAGACATTTTGTAAGTGACAGTGCAAGTGTCAGAGCTCTATTATGTTTTCTTTATATACATACAGCTGATATATGATAGCCTACAGTGTAAGAAAGATACTATACAGGTATTAAAAATAATAGTTGTTGGCCAAATTCTGCATTCCCATGTCATGTGCCACTTCTATTGAGCTTGCAAGAATCCTTGATTGACCACAGAAACAGAATGTAGCCTGTCATAACTTATTCCCTTATATTATGTTGGTATATTGTAAGAATAAAACATTTGTACTTTAGAGGAACCATCTCAGTTTCCTGATTTAGTTTCRAAGAAGTCACATCCAAAAGCATGTTTCCATTATTGTTTAGAGTCCAGAAAATCTCTACAGATGCCTCTGATAACATCAGGAACCATTTGCTCCAATCCTGTAAACTCCCTAGTGAAGAAAGTATGAGATTCTCTTGGTTCAGAAGCCATGTCTCTCAAATCATCCACAGGTGCCCAGGCAACACCAACAGAGAAGACTGTAATTCCTACAATGCAAYAGTACAGTAAGACAATTTATAAGTACACTTTGTCTATGGAAACAAGAAAAACATCTGCTTAGATTGTTTTCATGAATTAATTCAGACCAAAAAAAAAGTGTGTTTTAATACCTGCAGTCTATCAAAGAGAATTAGATTTTGCTACCATCAGAAATAAGTATTTTTCATAGTGTCAGTAAGATAGTAGCTTAAAGGCTTGGTAGTTTTTGGTAGTGCTTGGTAGTTTTTGGTAGTTCTTGGTAGTTTTCATAGCGACACACAAGTCTAATACTGTAGTCTGTCTGGAAACACAAGAAGCACTGCCCTAGTTGTAGAATAATTTAGAAAATAAATCTAGGTCGTTTGTATGTTCATTGCTTTCAAGTGTCAGCAGCCTTAGGAGTTTTTCAGCCCAAACTGCTTATTTCCTTCTTCGATTATGGGGAGCAAGAGTGAGATAATACTGAATGGTATCACTAATGGGAGCTTAACTACATGACACTTTTTAAAAAATCTAATATCTCTCCTATCCAGGAGAATAAGACCAGGCATACTTTTTCTTTTTTAATGTAAGCTACAATGAGTAAATCTATGCCTGGTTCTACATCACCTTTTTTTTTTTTTTTTTTAAATCCAAATGGAAAACAGTTACAGCTTATGTGCTTCTGAATCTAAAACAGCTATAATACTTGACTGACTCACTGGGATAGTATCAGCTTGTTTAAAATCTTAATATTAACAATACAGAAGAAATATGGTAAGTAAACTTCCCACTGTCGTCCAAGATAGATCATTTACCTGCTTTTTGTGCTGCAGCTGCAGGCCCTCTAACATCGTCGTAAGACTGACCATCAGTCAAAACAACAAGGAAATTCTTGTTGGGTCCATCTCTCATTGGCCCAAATACATTTCTTGTGGTGAAAGAAATGGCATCACCAGTAGCAGTGCCACCACTCATRTATCGGATGCTTTGGATAGCAGAGAGAACCTTTTCTTTTGTGATATAGTCAGTGAAGCCAAACTCAGTACGTTGATCATATGTGAACTGCACAGTTGCAATCTTGGAACCAATATCAGAGATCTCAAAAGCTTTTGCAACATTACTGATGAATTCGAGCATAAGGCGGAAGTTGCTGTCTCCAACGCTGCTAGAACCATCTATCAGAAAAGCTATGTTGACAGAGTTGTAGCACGTCTTGCTACACAGCATTTGTTCATGTGAACATAATTTTTGGGCAAGAGGTTTTACGTATTTTGTAGTGCCAAACCAAGTGGGCATTTGGTAAGAGAAGAAGCCATTATTTCGACAGACAGCCTATTTAAAAATAAAAAAGTCAGAAGGTAAATACATATCTACTCTATGCATAATTAAGACACTTATGTGACTTGTCTCTAGACTCTGACAGTTCAAGGACTTTTGTGTTATTCTTAAAGGGTAAGAACTGGAAATTGTAATTACAGTTTTGAAAGTGACCCAAGTAAGGACTACTGAATATCTAAAGGATTGCAAGTTCCATAGTTTTCTTTATTCAGTAAGACTTAGGCTTCTGTACTTTACATTTTAACTAGCAAGTACTTTTTTTTAAAAAATCTATCATGTGCCATAAACCTATGGCACATTAGACTTGAAGTCTAGTCYGTGACATCCAAAGTGTAATTTCCTTTTCCCCAGTAATCCATARGATGATGATATAATGCTAAGTTACCAAGAAAGGGATTCTTAAGAGTCAGCYCTCCAAGGTGATCTCTGACCTCATTAAGATGAGGGACCAGGCCTCAGTCACATCTTTCTGTGCCTATGAGTGCCTGGAAGAGTTGAACGTGCCCTTAATAAGTGTGGGGTCAGAAGCAAGGCATCTTGCGTCTTGCAGCAAGAGAGTGAGCTATAGCATTTCTTCTATTCATGCTCTGAGCTATGATGAACTTTCTAAACACTTCCTGTGAGAGATTTTTGAGASATCACTCAAAAAAAGTAATAGCCTAAGACTTAAAAATTCCTATAGAAGCAGAAAACCTGTGTTCATCTTCCTACTCCAACGTGTACAGAGCAAGATCCATAACTCCTCATCCAAGACTTGTCTGTCAACATGCTGTACTAGGATGTTTTTTGCAATCTTTCATGTCTCTGCRGTAAAAGTAAATAATCCTCCAGAGAGCCACTGCTGTTTCCCTGTCTGTTGTTTCATAATTGGAGCTRATGTACCTGCACTTTGCTTTGACACATTCAACCATACAGAATATAGAGAATTTCCTATCCTGAGGATCAATCTATAATTACAGAATCCAAGGGCTTTGACTTGGCCAAGGTTCTGAACTGATAGGTGATAGATAGTCTTTTGGTTTAACATTTCTGTGGGTCACTTAGTGGAGAGAAAAATCCTACAGTGGCATCATATAATTTAATGAGATTATTCGGTATAAGCTTTTTTAGGYTTATATTTTAGGCTTGCCCTTGATATGCTTTTGTATCGCTTAATAGCAGGAATAATTTTTTAACTATTTAGAGATTATATATATTAAATACATTATATATATATATATATGTGCACATACACATATTTAGGAATAAATTAATTAGAAATTTAGGAGAAAGTATATTCTCTAGGCTCATACATATGATTGGCAAATGGATAACGATATTCTCTTACTTTGTCAACAAAAGCAATATCTTGCACCATTCCCAACTCCTCCGTTGTTGGTTTTGCTACAGAGACGATGAATACATTAACCCCAAATTCTCTGGCCACTATACCAGCTTCTTCTATATCATCAGAGGGCCAACCATCTATGAACACCACGATGATCTTGGGAATTCCTTTACGTGCGCCATTTTCCAAAGAGAAGAATTTTTGAGCTGTATACTTCAAAGCTTTCCCTAATTTTAAACCAAAACCAGAAAGAAAAAGAAAGAATATGAAGATACACTGTGATTACATTTCAGTACCAACTTGCCACCATTCCGAAGAAGTTGTGCTGGATATTAGCCTTTTGTGAGATATGAAAAATTAGATGACTGATAAATGAACTGAAGCACTGTAGAATTTGAACACCAACCACAGGCCCACAGGCAAAGAAAYGTCTGTTAAAAGTAATGACTGTAGGATGTTATTTCATTTTACTATAAACAAGATTYTATATACTATACTCTAATACTGACAGTATCATAAATAAAAGTGTTTCTATTTCACTTAGCTTTGAACCAATACTTCCAAGATAAATTGATGGGGGTGGGAGGGGGCCTACATCAAAATTCAAACTCYGTAATTTTACAGAAAATAAACTAAAAGCTATTCTTGTCCCATAATTCCTGTCCTTTGACTAGAAAATATTGATTGGTATAAAACCAAAGTTTTCAAAGCTTATTCAGGTGACTAGCCAAAATCTGTTCTCAGATATAGAAGTGGAACAAGGAAGCAACTGCATAGTTAGTTACATTATGATTTAAAAGTGAAATAATATTCCAGAAAGTCAAGAGTAATCATGAAGTTTGAGAAACTTGTACTTTGAAAATTTACAGAGCCAAGGAAAAAGAAATCATTGGACTTTATTCTCCAGTAGGCCTAGTGTGATACTAGGAAGCAGATAAATTAGTGCCTGACAAGAAAACTGAAAGTATGGAAGCTGGAAATACTTATCATGTGAGATAAAACATTTTTGGTGAAAAATTCTATTAATTCCATATTCTAAAACAGGAATTTATGCTTATATTCTAATATATACTTATATACTTATATACTAATTATTCTATAATATATAATATAATATAATATAATATAATATAATATAATATAATATAATATAATAAAATAAAATAAAATATAATATAATATAATATAATATAATATAATATAATATAATATAATATAATATAATATAATATAAGTATATATTATATTATATAATACTTATATTCTTATATACTAATTATTCTATAATTAGTAACTGTAACTCAGAAGATCAAATGTAAGATGTGTCAACGTTTAATGAAGAATACTGAACTCACCAAGATGAACTAGTCATTTAAAACACTTTCACAGAACTGAAACATACATCCTTCATTGTGTCTATGCATACATATAATAATTTTGCCTGCATATGTATGCATATAAAAAGTAATTTCTCTTTTGGTGAAAGAATGAACTCACCTGTATTAGAATTGCCTCCTCTGAACCCTAATTCCTTTATAGCAAACAGAACATCCTTTGCAGTAGTGAAATTTTTCAGATAGAATTCTATTTTTGGATATTCACTGTAAAAAAATAAAATATTAGGCAAAAAAACCAAAAATGGGTTTATATGAACAATAACAAAATAATTCAAACTATATTTTGGCTTGTTCCTGCCACAGTGGTATCTGAGCCATAGAGCTCTGCTAAGGAAAGTGAATTACACACTTCTTAAATACTAAAATAGAAGTAGGCTCCAWAAATCAATAAGATTTTCAGTCCTGTGCAAAAGGAATTATTTACCTAGCCAGGTAAATGAGGAAGAGGCTGATCGTTAAGCTTACTAAAGAACTTAAGTATTAGGTTGAATATCTATCCAGAAATAAATTTTGAACGTGCCAGACTTAAAACTAAATGCATCTTAATAAACAAATTTGGCAGTTTGTTATTTGTATGAWGATTATTCTGTAGTTTTTTTAAAAAWTCCTGTGAAATTTAAACAGTGAGTTATTTCCTTTGAAAAGTTTAAAATCTACCAGCTCCACTAGCTACTGACTCCTTTTAAGAAAGGAAGCATTTTCACTAAACTGAATATCACCAAACTGAYTAGTTTCACTATTTATGTACAATAGGAGTATTGTAGGAGTATTAAGAACCTCACAACTGGTCTTAGTTGTGTTTCAGTACTTCACTACTGCAACACTGTTCTTCAGAATAGACTGTTACATTAGTTGATTTCTCTTATTAATCACTCAGTTATGTTTCACTAAGATAAACTTACCTGGCTTGTACGACGCCTACATGAGGCCCTTCTGTTCCAATTCCCAACATCACAGCTACTTTTCCAACAAAGTTTTTCTGTAAATTAAATCTACGCTGCCCGATATTGTAGCTTCCATCAATGAGAAATGCAATATCAGCTTTACAGTCTGTGAATAGCCAAAGTAATTAGAATATTAGAATATTTAACACCAAATAAATGTTAGAATTTTACTTTGCAGAAATTAAATCTGTGGGTTCCTACCTTTGTTTCCAGACTTTTTCTCAAGGGTCTTCTTAGGTCTTTTGCCTTCAATGAAGGAAAGAGCATTTAAGAACAAAAAAAAAAAAAAAAAACCAACCACCAGCCAGGGAGCATGAACTATAAAAAGCTTCAATTCTATGAGCTACATTGCAATATAGCCTGATTAAAAACTCTACTGAGGTGACATTGGCCTTTAGCCAGTTAATAATTACAMCTRTTCCACTACTGCTKTGCTCCTTGGAGGATATTCTCCAATAAACATAACACATTTACCTGCCTTTCTACACCTGCCTGGCTGATTACCAAAACTTAGGTAGAAAGCTGGATGGATTTCTGTAGTTCCCTATCCAAAGTCCTTCTATCGCACAGAAGAGGTACATGGCAGGAAGGGATTTCAAGACTTAGTATTTCTTTATGTCATCARCAGCGCACATCTGTCATCTAAGTTTATCACATCACATTGTTTTTTGAAGTATACTGACAGAGTAGTTTGTTTAGACTAGTTTACCTATAATGGTGGATGTAGTTTTTATTATTTTTCCTAAGTGTAGTAACAGAACATGTGAAAGCACCTGAAAGATCTGTGGGAGAAATTTGTATTTATCATTATTCCTTATTTATACAACAACTGTTTACAGTATTGGTAGCATGAAACTCAACGAAAACTGATAACATGGTCTTTTAACAGGCAGGCCTGGGAAAGGAAAAAAAAAAAAAAAAGAAAAACACATTTGTCAACTGTTGCTTTTGTCATCATGTTTCAGTGTGTCCTGACACCAGCTTATTTCTGTAAGGAGAAAAGCATTACCTCTTTTGTCCCTATTAGCAATGAATCTCTCAGGAGGTCCAAACCCATATAACTATTCTAAATGCATTCATTTTTTTCTTGATTTACATGTATACCACTTAGAATCAGTCTCATATTACAAGTGATTCCTCTACTTGCTGATAAAACTTATGCTGAGAAAAAAAACAGAGGTTAGTTATGTTTTCTTCTTTAAACATAAACAAAGCCCATGAAATATGTCATTTTAGTCAGACATTCATGCACTGCAGCACGCCCTATCGTGTAAGTCTTCTACTGTTAATAACCCCTTGAGTTCCAGGGGTCTCATACCTGTGGAAGGACGTGCTGTTGATATTGATCGTCCAACTGCTTCAAGCACTACATCCTTGCTACCTGTTAAAATATTGAAAGGATAAGCTTACTCTATTTCACTGTATTATATGCAATTATATATGTTTGGAGAACACTATTTCCAGTACTTTCTTCATCATCCTCTATTAGCTACTCTTGAAAGTGGGCACTGACCAAAACAGTTTTTGGAGAGACCTAGTACTACAGTGCTTACTCTTTTTTTGTTAATAAGCTTCTAATTTAGACATCTAAATTTGAAAAAAAATAATAGATGATAGGTAGTTATAGCATATCTAATTGATAACAGTTTTTCAGCTGTAGCAGACATTATTTCTAGCAAATAAATTCAGGGCTTAATCCTGGAGAAATGGTGATGGATTCAATGAAGGTGCACCAGTCCAGTGAATGGTGCACCTTCACTGAAAATACCGGTAGTTTCAAATTCTTAGCTATTAACTTAACTGCAAGGATTACTAATGTCTTAGAGATAATAGGCTGAATTTTAGGTAAACAACATGAATGTATTGGAGCTTCATTTCACAAACTCTGAAAGGATATACTGTAAAACACAGAGACTTATTATTATTTGTTTTAATCCAGAACAGAATATATAACCAGTAGAGTTCTCTGCATATTTTTATAAGATGACTTAAGCTAACTCAAGTGGCATGAAGTAACTTTTTTTTTTTGCAATCAGATACCATCTCAACTACAAGGACAAAAGAAAAAAAGGGGGGAGGGAATAAAAAGGACAAAATGTACTGTATCATACTGTGGTTTAATGACCAGCTCTAAGGTAACATGACTCCTGGTTTTGGAGGGTAAACTTTCTGTTTGCATAGTGTCCTGAACAAGCTCTTCATATGGCCTGACGAATGCTACTGCCTACAMGGAGGCACACACAAGACTGCACAACTGAAGGCAGAGCTACAACTGTTTAGCTGAGAGTAGTGGGAGAGCAGGACTGCAGCTAGAGTGATGAAGCTCCATTWAGAAATTTTTAAATTGTCATGGAACTACAATGCTGACTGCTTTTTTCATGTGATTATATTCTGAATATCAATGCTCCATTTTCCAATCTCAGCTTCAATTACAGTTTGACTACCCTAGCTAGCAGCAATTTAAGGAAATTGGAGGAAAAAGAAGATACAACAAGAACTTAAAAGTGGTAACTTCTGTTACTAAACACAAATGACAGTTGTTTATGCATATGAAGTTTCATTGAATTATGTTAGTTTCAAATAGAGTTTGCAAAATTATGTGGGATCCACCTACGAGTCACTGCAAAAGATGAAGCCCATCTAGCGAGCATCTGAGACTGAATCCCATTGGCATTTACAGCAGGGTAGTTCTCTTGTCCTGGGAGAGTCTGCACCTTTACAGCTCCTCCAGCATTGGTGATCACCCCCCTGAGAGGGAAGAAAAGTTATTGTAAAATAGACATTTTAATCACAAAGAAATGAAAACAATTTTACTATTCTGGACACTCCAGCCCTCTGAAAAAGATGCTTCATAGGCAAGCAGCTGTGTCAAAACTGAAAAAAAGTTTTAAGTCACTGGAAAGATTGTTTACAGTCTACTCTACTGAGCATCACATAGACTTAGAAAAAAAATACCAGGATTTTAAAGTTCGAACATCGTTCAGACAAAAATGAAGAAGAGCAATGAAAAGGACTTGTATATATATTAAAAGAGCTGTAGAAGAACATATAGATTTGAATTCATTGTGACTCATGGATATTTGCAACTAAAACATTTTTTTTATGTTCAGCTGTGAAAAGACCAGCTGTAAGAAAAATGAAGAAAAAAGGTTGTTGCTTATAGTACAGATTTGTATATAAGACATTGTGTTATGGCASCACACAGAATGAGATCAAAAATATTGATAGCATCTCTTAGATTATTGAGTAATATAAGAAAGTGCATAAAAGATCCTATTCATTTTACTCATCTGTAGYAAAGATTAGAAGTAAAATCAGGAAAGAATATAATAAACAATGCAAATCATTAACGCGGTGCACATGATTCCTACTAAAATGCGGTCTAGACTTGGAAATAGCATCTCAACAGCTACTATTCAAATGTGCAGTTTTTATTAACACACCATACTGCAGCATGAGAATCTGGAATACTTAAGTAATAGTTAACACATTCCAGGTTCATTTAAGCATGCCACAGTCAGTCGTTACTATACGGTTATAAAGGGTTAGTAAAAAAGTTGGAACAAATATCAGAAAGCTTACTGATTAAGAAAACAAAACAAAAGAATTAAGAAGTAAATGTAATGTTATCAGATTACTACTATAGAATGATCCCTAGAATRATCAGTTTTAAAATGTAGAAGGAGAAAAAAAAAAAATCAAACAGCCCAAAACATCTTTAAGCAAAAATCTATGTAGAATGTTKCCAAGAATAGATTTGAACCTAGAAATTTCACATCTCATACATGTTGTTAGATATAGGTGATCTCAAAAGCTGCTCAACTGTGAAATGAAACACGATGAGGGGAAAAGCAACAGTGGTCCTCCCTAAGAACTAGATACTGTCAGATTTGTCTCAACACATGAAACAAATGTTGAAAGTCTTATTGATGTTTATGTGGTGAGTTTCTCAGCACTACTAGACTTACATGACTGTGGGCATATCCAACAAAACTGATCAATGTATTTAGGAAACTTAAAGGTTAAAAGCTACTATTTAGTAAAAATAGCATAAAGAATATAGGGTAATAAAGAACAAAGGGTATAAATAGCAGCAAAGAAATAACTTATTTGTTTGATTTTGCATGTGAAAAGTGGTTATGAATGTTTGCATTTGAATACTTATAGTATCATCAAAACTGCTTTTATATACAGTTTACTAGCAAATTAAGCAAAAAAGGTTGTATTATTTTTCAGAGGTCAAAATTTAATTTTTAAGCTTCTGTAAGACAGGGGTAAAAGCTTAAGTCTTTGTAGYACTTGGGCTGGTACAGTACTGTTGAAGACAAGCATCTGTTTCAAGACTAATGAAACAACAATATCCCTTCGGTTGCCTTATCCATTTGGCTTTCTGCCTGAAAAGAGGTCTCAGTTTAATCTGACGTAAAACATTGCAAAAGGACAATAATCAAAGTCAGAAGTTAAGGGAAAAAAAATATATGTTTATAGCAATATTAGCTCTGGACATTAGTGGCAAAATCAGCTTCTACATCAATACCTTTGTGGACTCCTTTTACAATATATTCTTCATTCATGGGTTTTGCTTGCATCTCTAAAGAGAAATGGGCTTATAAATATTTAATTCCTGTGCCATGGAAAATTATGATAGCTGTCTCAAAATATGCATATATTTTCTCATCTTTGAATATTGTATACATTATGCAGACAAGCGAACTTTAGTAAAGTTGCTAGAGTTTAGTAAATGCTAAAATCATATTATAAAGCTGGAAAATATAAACAGCACTACAGAACTCTGTAAAAAGTAAGAGAAGAAAAAAAAGAGACTAGAGCCTCTAATTGGTTGTGTTAAAATTGACAGGAAAAAACAGTTAGGCACAATTACCCTTGGAGAAATAAATTAATGAACTTAGAATATTTCAGTCTGATTAGAGCATGATTTGCTTCTCCATTGCCTTTTTCTCCTTCTCATTAAAGCCTTCACTACTGTCTCAGCATTTAGAAATAAGGAAAACTGTTCAAGAAAATATAAGGCAGCATGAATTCAAATACTTTTTTTTTAATTATTATTTGGAGCCAATTCTAGTTTAAATTTATACTGGCAATAAGTTGCTTTGGGTTTGCACTAGCATAATTGATGTCTGTCCAAGTCCAGCTCCCAAAAAGAGCTTAGTATTTCTTCCATTTCCTTTGTTGTAAACTTGCAGCTTCAACCACTAGCTGGATTAAGACCAACAAGACCATATTTTGTACTGATAGCTCAGCCTAYTAAGCTTTCCTGGAAGCAATGATTTCAGCCCATCTTGTTCATCGCATGAACAGTTTTCTCCATATTGTTCCAGTATTTCTATTTGTCTTTTTATTTTGATTGCCATTAAGTCATTCTGGAGAACCAGAAGTAATTCACTGCCAGATTTGGGAATTGTTTCCTCTGAAAACCATCGTGAAAGATTTATTTGCTCCTGTCTGTTTATTGAAGGCATGTACTGATTTGGTATTTAATCGTAAATTGTAGAGCTCTTGGCAGTTTTCTAAAGATGCATTACTTTCACATAATCAATTCTCTTTGCTAATTCCAATGCGTGTTTGTGGGCTAGTATTAGATGCAAGTATAGTATAAATCTCTGTAAATTAGATGCAAGTATAGTATAGTATATATCTCTTTGAAAAATATTCCTCTTTCCTTGCCCATTTGTTCCATAGCCAAATTAACAAGTGTGTTATAAACCATCTTGCAATGCTTCAGTTTTACCCTGAGGTGTTTCTTCTTCAGTGCACACTGGTATATGCTGGAGTAAACCATGTTGTTAGTCTGTATTTCTATTCTGAAAGACTTTGTCAGTTAACTTTGCACAGCCATTTAAGATGCTCTTTAGAGATGAGATTCGTCCTATGTAGATGTGCAATAGGACTTGAGCAGCAAAAAGGTGCCTATGCATTGCTTATGTGTTTCCTCAAAATATAATTTGTGTCACTAAAAGCTACATTGATTTCCATTGCTGTACTTTGTTCATGTGCCAGTGACTTGCATGCCAGGCTGTTTTGATTATACTGTAACTGCAGGTTTACCAGATACAGCTTTCCCTTCCTTAATCATTGTGTTTCTTGCTACTGTCAGGGCTGCCATCAAGTAATGTTGTATAGGAGCTGTCACTCCATTTTCTTGCCTAGCTTCACGGTTAATAATCATCACTTATGCTTGTGCTATATTCTTCATTCCAAAATACACACAAACATAAAAAGGAGACACATGGGGAAATATAGTACCTCACTGCACATTAGCTCATGGGAGGAAGAATATTGGCCATAACACAGCACAAGATATTCTTATATGAAATAAGAATTGCACCCAACAACTACCTAAAAAATTAAATTGAAGTCAGAAAGGAGGTCTRAATGAAGCTTTTGGAGCCTTCCCACCTCGTCAAAGTAAAGTGCACAACCTTGTTTGTCTACCCTGACAAAGAAAGAGATGGAGGGTACCTTGATTTTGCTGACCTGCAGATGCCTTTTTCAATAGAGTCTGCACATCAGAGCTGATGCAGAGGAACTCTTCCGGTTATGGGAGAAGACCTTTATACCTGTAACTGCAGTCAGCAGTCTTTCACAGAGCAGTAAAGCTGAAATAGTGACTACTGTTAGAAGAAAGGGGAAATTAAACTTTTCACATTTGTGGAAGTGCTTTTCCTCTGGATAAGTTCAGTTTTTTGGAATTTGCAAAGTAAGCTACTGACGTGTTTCAAAAAGTTTGAAATCAAGCCCAATGACTGTCCTCTAAAGTGATCTTAGCTCTGTAAATGTAATGCAATGATCAGCTACATAAGATCATCTAAAAAATACAAAACATTGTTCATGAAATGGACAGAGGTAGTTTTACTATGCGGCAACAAGGGATGAGAGAATGAGAGAAAATGGCTTTGAACATAGTCTAAATGTTCCCATCTAAATAAAGTCCAAGAGCAACAGGGCTTCAACTGGACTGTTGAAAGAAATACAGATTGAACAGATTTAGTCTTGTGGTTCAGAAGCCAGTATATACTTAGAGAATAACATATACCTTCATGCTAATAATTRTGCTCATCATATATGTCTGTGGGTAGGCAATCTGCATTATCTATAGAAAGGAAAGATCAGAAAGGTGCCTGTCTGCCATGATACCCAAGGCTGGACTTTTAACCTGGAGCCCCTGTCAGCATGGGAGAGTGAGAAGTGCTTGCTGTGATAGCACTTGGCATAGAACTCTAACAGGATGCTTTGATGAGAAGTTATCCTCGGGAGACTAAGCTTAGACATGACAGATGAATTCCCATCTTTTCTTCCTACTATCAACAGCTACATAAAACTCCTTTCACATCCTCCCCTCTCCATTGCTACAAGAAGCGCCTTCCCCATCTCTAAACTGCAGTCTCCTACCGCTGCCTGCCTTCAGTTACTGACCCTGAGCTATCCTGGGTTTCATGCCAGCAGTCCTTGCCCTGCTAGGTTCTGCTCTCAACTGTGCTCCTGTTGCTTTTGGCGAGGAAGGCTCRACAGCAGAAGTTGATAATGTACCAAAGTTTCCCAGTAAATGTAGCGTTGCCCAGAAGTCCAATCCTTCTGGCCAAATGACCTCTTTGACAGCCTTTTTCTGTAATTGAACACTGGATCACCCGGACGGTCCTCATGGTTAGCTTGTGATCCACAGAATGTTGTGGCCAACTTGGTAACACCATGATGCACTTCTGTTCCCTTTAGTTCTAGGAACCTTATGTTTAATTAGGTATGTTCCCACCCTGTGAATAGTTACAAAGTTTATGAAAATTTTCACAGGTCTATTGAGCATCTAGATATACCAAATCAAATTAGCTCCCCGTTTAGTGGAACTGGCTCAAGCTGTGAACTTAATCCTCAATTTGATGTACTGATTATTAATCCAATTAATCAGTCAGTGGTAGATTTAACTCACTTCCTTATGCGTACGTAGTGTCAGCCTGGTAGGAGATTCTGCATTCTTCCCCATACCAAGCAAAATTTCTGTTYTTCTGCCCAGAAAAAGAACAATGTTAAATAGAGTTGAAAGGTTTAAGTTTAAAAATCTAGCAAACTTGTGGAACACATTAGTCATCTGACATACCTGTGGATGGCAGCTCCACAGACACTGGAAAGAGAGGCATAGACTCCATCCCCAAAGACATAAAATTGCCACAGAGGACAGTTTGCTGGGCAAAGGACATCTTCTGTCTCCTTTCGAAGGTCAAGTCCTCTTGTAAAGCATGTGATAGCAGTGGCAACTGGAAAAAAAATGTAACATGAAAATCTTTTAAAACTCATACACTGTTTCCAAACGCAAAACAATGTTTGAATTTAAAGGTAATCARTGCCTTTTCTGATGCTCCAGTAAATCTGAATAGGTATTTTTGGAGCTTAAAACTGTGCACACACTTTTTCATTAATTTTATGAGACAGAAATTGTAAGAAAAAAAATGGAAAAAGCTAAAAATATGACTGAAATAAGAAASAGTAGCACAGAACATTAACATAAAAATCCAAGGAATAACAAGGTAGGAAAGCTAGCAGCAATTCAAATAAGCTGCAAGTTTCCTAGTGAAGCATAAAAGTGAGGGGAAGACCTTAGAGCACTGGTGAAGCACATGTCTACACAGCACACTCCAGGAAAGAAGTTAAATGTCTCAGAAGTCCTCAAAGTGATCTCCAGCAATCTGCATTCATAGCAATTCATTGCCTTTGCAAAAACAACTGTCACATTCACCCACTGAGAAATTTAAGTTATTTATTCAGTTTAGGCACAATACATTTTCACGTAACATTCCACCTTTCATTCTTTAAAAAATGTACCTTGTGTTACCATCATTAAGCTTTTCCTGTGTTTACTAGTATGCAATGTATATATACATACCACCAGGATACAATTTTGTCTTTCAAACTAAAACTTTTTCAGACTTTAGAGGTCACTAACTTAGATACTTACAACCATTCTACCACTGCACAAGGCATTTTATCTAGCCACTCTGGGAATGAGACATATTAAGGCTTTTGCTTACATCAGCATCAGTTCAGCATCACAAATTCAAACTTGGATATTTATTCTGAAATTTTTATCAGTAAAGGTTACCCATGGGAAAAGGAGAGGAAAAAAAAAAAGGCAGTAGACACTTTCATTTCTTCTGAAAAAATAATGAAGAACTCTTCATCTAATCTAGCAAGAACCATGGTAAAGTGATTTAAATGAGGTTGCAATTTAAAGAAAAGGACTCAGTCCTAGGTTCTTATCCATTCTGGACTCTATCAGAGACTAGAGACATATGAAAGTAAACTTAGGTCTGCAAAACTGCAATGAAGTGACCACACTCAAGGTACGTGTCTTTACAGCTCAGAAGCATGCCACATCTGGGTACATTGTAGAAACAAAGTACAAAGAGGAAAAAAAAATGTTTTTTCTTTCTGATTAAAGGCATATTTTTWAAAGTATGGATGGATGTCTTCCATCAGTGTTGACCCTAAAGAGAGAGAGAAGAAAGAAAATAACCAAGGCTGTTTTCTCCTAAAATATCCAGCCATGCTCCATGCTTTCAATCCATTTCCATCTTTTTGTTGTCTCATCCCATATACTGATTTGCATGGAATAGCTGTTTCTTACTCCTGCACAAGGAAACTTTCACATAGGTTTTGAAGACAGTCACTAATAGGGAAAACTATAGCAAAAAAAAAAAAAAAAAAAAAAAGAGAGAGAGAGAG